TGTGCACTCTATAGCGTTGCCGGGCGCTATGCAGCCCTAGCCCTGCACACACTGCAGGTCTGTGCCCTCTATAGCGTTGCCGGGCGCTATGCAGCCCTAGCACTACACACACTGCAGGTCTGTGCACTCTATAGCGTTGCCGGGCGCTATGCAGCCCTAGCACTACACCCACTGCAGGTCTGTGCCCTCTATAGCGTTGCCGGGCGCTATGCAGCCCTAGCCCTGCACATACTGCAGGTCTGTGCACTCTATAGCGTTGCCGGGCGCTATGCAGCCCTAGCACTACACACACTGCAGGTCTGTGCAGTCTATCTCTTAATTTGCTAAATCCTATATATAGGATTTTGGTCATATTTTTCAACTCAAAATGGGTGTGGCATGAGCATAGGGAAATATATGTGACCAATTCTTCCGCGTTAGGTCTTAGTCGATATGGAGAGTTGAATAAGATATTTTTTTCAAATACTTACATCTAAGTCTCATCTCCTTGCGCAATATTTCTAAGGCCTGTGCCCTATTTTTTGAACCCTATATATAGGATTTGAGATTCTAGTGGACCTTGTTTTATCCTTAAAATTGGTAGTTTCACGACGGCATGTGCGATATGTCGTCATGAAACCACCCTGTGCCACACCTGTAATGTTCAATTGCACATTCACTGCTTCAGTCCTTCCCATGACACCAGCTGAACAATGCTGCTCAAAATTCCAATCCTTGCTCAAAATGGGTATTCATGATGTCCTATGAATCTAAAAAGTAAACATGCATGCCTCAAATATATTTACAGCTTCTAATAAAACCATTATGCTCTTATTATGGGTCATGAATGACTCATGATGACCAATAACAACGGCATAAAGGTCACGCATTTTCAAATCCTATATATAGGACTTTTGCCCAACAAATTAAGAGATAGCGTTGCCGGGCGCTATGCAGCCCTAGCCATGCACCCACTGCAGGTCTCTGCACTCTATAGCGTTGCCGGGCGCTATGCAGCCCTAGCACTACACACACTGCAGGTCTGTGCACTCTATAGCATTGCCGGGCGCTATGCAGCCCTAGCACTACACACACTGCAGGTCTGTGCACTCTATAGCATTGGCGGGCGCTATGCAGCCCTAGCACTACACATACTGCAGGTCTGTGCACTCTATAGCGTTGCCGGGCGCTATGCAGCCCTAGCCTGCACACACTGCAGGTCTGTGCACTCTATAGCATTGCCGGGCGCTATGCAGCCCTAGCACTACACCCACTGCAGGTCTGTGCACTGTATAGCGGGGGCTGGGGGTCAGCCTCCTAGCCTAGGCCGTTCTTATTTTCATGCACTACAGTCCATGCACAGTTGAGTCACCGTGTATACGTTGGTATGCTGTGCTTGGTGAAATCCTAGCCTGGTCATTCTTTGCCACTGCATTGTGAAATCCTAGCCTGGTCATTCTTTGCCACTGCATTGTGAAATCCTAGCCTGGTCATTCTTTGCCACTGCATTGTGAAATCCTAGCCTGGTCATTCTTTGCCACTGCATTGTCAAATCCTAGCCTGGTCATTCTTTGCCACTGCATTGTGAAATCCTAGCCTGGTCATTCTTTGCCACTGCATTGTGAAATCCTAGCCTGGTCATTCTTTGCCACTGCATTGTGAAATCCTAGCCTGGTCATTCTTTGCCACTGCATTGTGAAATCCTAGCCTGGTCATTCTTTGCCACTGCATTGTGAAATCCTAGCCTGGTCATTCTTTGCCACTGCATTGTGAAATCCTAGCCTGGTCATTCTCTGCCACTGCATTGTGAAATCCTAGCCTGGTCATTCTTTGCCACTGCATTGTGAAATCCTAGCCTGGTCATTCTTTGCCACTGCATTGTGAAATCCTAGCCTGGTCATTCTTTGCCACTGCATTGTGAAATCCTAGCCTGGTCATTCTTTGCCACTGCATTGTGAAATCCTAGCCTGGTCATTCTTTGCCACTGCATTGTGAAATCCTAGCCTGGTCATTCTTTGCCACTGCATTGTGAAATCCTAGCCTGGTCATTCTTTGCCACTGCATTGTGAAATCCTAGCCTGGTCATTCTTTGCCACTGCATTGTGAAATCCTAGCCTGGTCATTCTTTGCCACTGCATTGTGAAATCCTAGCCTGGTCATTCTTTGCCACTGCATTGTGAAATCCTAGCCTAGTCATTCTTTGCCACTGCATTGTGAAATCCTAGCCTGGTCATTCTTTGCCACTGCATTGTGAAATCCTAGCCTAGTCATTCTTTGCCACTGCATTGTGAAATCCTAGCCTGGTCATTCTTTGCCACTGCATTGTGAAATCCTAGCCTGGTCATTCTTTGCCACTGCATTGTGAAATCCTAGCCTGGTCATTCTTTGCCACTGCATTGTGAAATCCTAACCTGGTCATTCTTTGCCACTGCATTGTGAAATCCTAGCCTGGTCATTCTTTGCCACTGCATTGTGAAATCCTAGCCTGGTCATTCTTTGCCACTGCATTGTGAAATCCTAGCCTGGTCATTCTTTGCCACTGCATTGTGAAATCCTAGCCTGGTCATTCTTTGCCACTGCATTGTCAAATCCTAGCCTGGTCATTCTTTGCCACTGCATTGTGAAATCCTAGCCTGGTCATTCTTTGCCACTGCATTGTGAAATCCTAGCCTGGTCATTCTTTGCCACTGCATTGTGAGTCACCTGACAGTAGTGTAGTACTACTAGACACAATAATATCTTTATTCAAGCTCAACAAAATGCGAGAGATTCTACTACTACTACTACCACTACTAATACTAATACTACTTGGTCCGCCAAGTTAAAATTGGCGCTTATCTTCTCACTTGGTTTTTCGGTGTTCTGCCTGTGTCACACGGCATGGAACCACCGATTCACCATCCGAACATAACCATTGACCATTGCATCCGACGACATGGCAGCACAAACCATCACAGAAGTTGCGATCGGCTAGTTTGAGTCTTTTTGACGGAGCTGCCGCCGACGAATACTTCCGTCAGCGCAAGAAAACACTGCAACCTTCGCTCAAGTCCGTAAAATAGGTCAGGATGTTCGCATTTCAGAGCGATGGAGAATACAGTTTCTGTCTACGTCCAGCTATCTGATGGCAAGGATTGTTTACCCCGGGGAGGTATAGAAAAGCTGAAAAATCGCTTCGCGAGCTTGAATCTCAGTGCTTGCACAGTACAGCGCCTAGTGAAGGGCTACTGTATCACCAGAAAATCGCTGACGAAGAAACTGCAGCTCATGTCGACATCTCCAGTAAGTGAGACCAATCCAGCGGACACACTTCGAACCTCACAGAGGACAGGGCAAAGGAGCTAATCAAAGAAAACACCAAGTCCTGAGGGAAACACTCGTGCAAAGGACTTTCAGGAAACTAGCCGAACAGACTGGTGCACGGCGTTAGGACTTGGGTGCAGTACGCACAGGTGCTACATCAAGCGGAAGCTATCACTGCGATGCATGTACAAGCACCAGCGGCTCGCGTGTGTACTGATCAGCAAGTACGACAAGCGCAAGAGGCGATTCGAAAAAAGGACACTGATATGGCGTTGCCTTTTTGTCTCAAACAAAGACGCATTGTTGCGACGAACGGGGATAACACTTAGAGCCAACATGCGGACAGTCTCACTCAGCTTCTGATCGGCAAGGTGACAGGCACGCACTGCCTTTGAGCGTGATTCGAGACGAGGAGAAGTGGAACAAGCTATGAAACGACACGTGCAGCAGCTGTCCGGATCGAACGTTTTGAGCTCTTCCTCCAGCGACGATAGTGGCGAGGAGGATGTGTAACTACTTGCTTGAATTTTCGACTGAGTTGCTTACTGACATGTAAATAATCATGTATATGGTGCTTTGTGATCGTGGCTTGCTTCAAATATTCGTATTTCCTTCCTGAGACAAGTGTGAAGATAAGCGCCAATTGTAACTGGGCGGACCAAGTACTACTACTACCTAGAATAAGTTACAATTATGATTGGTTGGCATTGAGCGCTTGAACCATGGGAGAGAGGGAGAGAGAGAGAGAGAGATAGATAGAGAGAGAGAGAGAGAAGCCTTACTTGTCGCTGATGTGCAGTAGCTGCATTGAAGTAGATGACAGCTAGGACTAAACGACGCAGTAAGTCTACACCAGCCCACCAGCGTCGCTCTTCAACGTAGCTAGACTCAATTATGTCACGAAACTGCTTCATTCGCTGGATATGTCAGTAGAGAAAGCAGCAACACATTGTCTAAAGGGTTAATTACAATCACCCAACATTCAGTGCAGCAGCAGCAGCAGCTTCTAGCCTTCTACATATCATCAATTCTCAAGTTAGCCCCCCCCCCCCCCCCACACACACACGCACACCCACACACTGCATTGCATCAGAATGCATAGCTGTCAGCAGCACCATTGCAGTACAGTGCTACTCTGTAAAATCACATTCTGTGAGTCAACTACTTCAAAAAGTAGTTAGTTAGTTAGGTGCAGTGTGCTGTGCAGCCCCCAGACATGCAAACACTGGGCTGTGCACTGGTGCAGGGTGATGAAGTATTGATGAAGTATTGATGAAGTATTGATGAAGTATTGATGAAGTATTGATGAAGTATTGATGAAGTATTGATGAAGTATTGATGAAGTATTGATGAGATCAGATGAGGTCAGATTGTAGTGTGCAGCAATTAGCATACAATACAATCAGTCATTCATACACTCAGACCTCGGTTACCCCTAGTTACGGCCACTTCGGTCTACCCAGCACCCTCTGGGCGAGTTTCAGGGGAAATATTACTAGTCTTCCGTCACTTTCGAGGAAATAGTGACGTCATACCTCATATCTATGGCCTTTCCCCAATAGATTGTATGTGATTCGGAGTTACGGACATTTCGAAGTAAAGAGCAATGCTCAGCCTCAGACCGCCCGGATAAACGAGGTATGAGCGTACTGTGCATGGAACTTGGCGCAGAACTTGAGCCAAAACTTGAGCCAGAACTTGAGACAGAACATGGGAGAGAATTTGACACAGAATTTAACACAGAATTTGATAGTATAGGAATGGCTGGTACCTTGAAGTAGCCTCTGGACATCAGGAACATGAGGAATGGAGTTGGAAGGATAACACCTAGAAACAAGAGACCTGAGAACACTGCCCATGCCACCCAGCGACTGTCATTCGGTCCTTCAAAATTGTAGCAAAATAAATTCCCGTTGTAGTAGTAACGCTGTACACAACAACGACGACGACGACAACAATAACAACAACAATGTGAGAATAAAGAATTCAAACTGCATCAACAACAGCAGCAGCAGAGACAGCAGAGACAGCAGAGACAGCAGCAGGAGAGACAGCAGAGACAGCAGCAGCAGCAGAGACAGCAGCAGCAGAAACAGCAGCAGCAGAGACAGCAGCAGTAGAGACAGCAGCAGCAGAGACAGCAGAGACAGCAGCAGCAGAGACAGCAGAGACAGCAGCAGCAGAGACAGCAGCAGCAGAGACAGCAGAGACAGCAGCAGCAGAGACAGCAGCAGCAGAGAGAGCAGCAGCAGCAGAAACAGCAGAGACAGCAGCAGCAGCAGCAGAGAAAACCACATCAGCCTGGACGAGGCGGGGGAGGGGGGGGGGGGGAGGAGAGAGAGCAGCATGTCAAATAGAAGTGAATTTCAGTACAAAGTAGTGCGGATATCAGTCCAGTTCGTATGTACTACTGTACAGCAGGAAATTTTCGGACGGAGATATTTTCGGACAAAGTCGAATTTCGACCTTTCGTACGGGTTTTATTTTCGTAAAGTGCTGCATGCTAAATGCACGTGTTCGCAAGCAGTACGCATGTATAGTGTACATAATTTTACTTCAGGAGTACGGAATTAACTACCGTATTTGCCAGAGTATAATGCACACCTAAGCATAACGCATACCTGAGCATAACGCACACCTGAGCATAACGCATACCTGAGCATAATGCACCCATGAGCATAATGCCCCCCCCCCCCCCTTTGACCAATATTTTGGCAATTCAAGCTATATGTATATGTGGAGTATAATGCTATATGTGGAGTATAATGCGCAGCTTAGATTTGAGAAAATGATGGATTATAAAGGCAGTATCATAGTGCGAGCATGGACAAAATTATCATAAAAATTATTAAAACGTGTACATTAGTATAATGTACGGGGGGGGGGGGGGCTACCTATGGCAGTATGGGGTCTCGTACCCATCTTGCACTGATGGCTACCTATGGCAGTATGGGGTCTCGTACCCATCTTGCACTGATTTGCAATGTAGCTGGCAGAAGACACCACAAATGCATGGATATGGCTTGTGCAGGGTCAGAGACTCAGGGGTGGCAAACTTCGCAACAGTTTGATACATTGCACTACTTTTCAAAGTGCATGCATTCTCATATTCGGAGCACAGTGCACACTATACTCCAGCAAATAAGGTAATTGCCTTGGCCATTTGACTGCCATTGGACAATGTACTACCATAGTAACCAAAGCACATTGGGATACATCGGTATTGTTGCAAAAGAAGGATCCACGAGCGGGATTCGAACCCAGCACCCCTGTCTTTCCAGGATAGTGCCCTACCGATTAGACTACCGGGGATCACACACACTCATGGGTCCTTCTTGCTACACTGCTCCCCCGCCCCAACAGGCTGTGTCCTCACGCCGTACCTACTCGCGGGGTACGATGGGTCGTGGGTTTGAGCCATTGCCAGGCGCCAATGTTGCAAAAGAAGGATCACGAGCGGGATTCGAACCCAGCACCCGTCCTGTCTTTCCGGGACAGTGCCCTACCGATTAGACTACCAGGGATCACACACACTCGTGGGCCCTTCTTGCTACAGTATGCATAGCCAATAGGGCACGCCGGGCGCCGGTCCCGGGGGGTGTAGAACAACTGATACACCACTGGCTGCGTTCGATTATGCACTTGAATCGATTCATGAATCGATTCGCGCTATTCACATCACTCCATGTGAATAGGGTGAATGGATTCCGAATCGATTCCAGGGCTCATGACGTGCAAATCGAACGACTTGAATGCATGCGAATGGATTCATGAATCGATTCAAGTGTGTAATCTAACGCAGCCAGTGTACACTCTGTGCTACACGTACTGTACACATATGACAGGGTATGTTGTAGGTATTGCACGTAGTGTACACATATATGACACATATATGACACATATATGTGTCACATATATGATACAATCATTATACGACACACATATGACACACATATGATATAATATTATGACACATATATGACACACATATGATATAATATTATGACACACACATGACAGGGTATGTTGTACGTATAGCACATATTGTACACTGCAGAAGTACGCTGACGTATGTAGCAGTGCAGAAGTACGCTGACGTATGTAGCAGTGCAGAAGTACCCTGACGTATGTAGCAGTGCAGAAGTACGCTGACGTATGTAGCAGTGCAGAAGTACGCTGACGTATGTAGCAGTGCAGAAGTACGCTGACGTATGTAGCAGTGCAGAAGTACGCTGACGTATGTAGCAGTGCAGAAGTACGCTGACGTATGTAGCACTGCAGAAGCACGCTGACGTATGTAGCAGTGCAGAAGTACGCTGACGTATGTAGCAGTGCAGAAGTACGCTGACGTATGTAGCAGTGCAGAAGTACGCTGACGTATGTAGCACTGCAGAAGCACGCTGACGTATGTAGCAGTGCAGAAGTACGCTGACGTATGTAGCAGTGCAGAAGTACGCTGACGTATGTAGCAGTGCAGAAGTACGCTGACGTATGTAGCAGTGCAGAAGTACGCTGACGTATGTAGCAGTGCAGAAGTACGCTGACGTATGTAGCAGTGCAGAAGTACGCTGACGTATGTAGCAGTGCAGAAGTACGCTGACGTATGAAGCAGTGCAGAAGTACGCTGACGTATGTAGCAGTGCAGAAGTACGCTGACGTATGTAGCAGTGCAGAAGTACGCTGACGTATGTAGCAGTGCAGAAGTACGCTGACGTATGTAGCAGTGCAGAAGTACGCTGACGTATGTAGCAGTGCAGAAGTACGCTGACGTATGTAGCAGTGCAGAAGTACGCTGACGTATGTAGCAGTGCAGAAGTACGCTGACGTATGTAGCAGTGCAGAAGTACGCTGACGTATGTAGCAGTGCAGAAGTACGCTGACGTATGTAGCACTGCAGAAGTACGCTGACGTATGTAGCAGTGCAGAAGTACGCTGACGTATGTAGCAGTGCAGAAGTACGCTGACGTATGTAGCAGTGCAGAAGTACGCTGACGTATGTAGCAGTGCAGAAGTACGCTGACGTATGTAGCAGTGCAGAAGTACGCTGACGTATGTAGCACTGCAGAAGTACGCTGACGTATGTAGCAGTGCAGAAGTGCGCTGACATATGTAGCAGTGCAGAAGTACGCTGACGTATGTAGCAGTGCAGAAGTACGCTGACGTATGTAGCAGTGCAGAAGTACGCTGACGTATGTAGCACTGCAGAAGTACGCTGACGTATGTAGCAGTGCAGAAGTACGCTGACGTATGTAGCAGTGCAGAAGTACGCTGACGTATGTAGCAGTGCAGAAGTACGCTGACGTATGTAGCAGTGCAGAAGTACCCTGACGTATGTAGCAGGGCAGAAGTACGCTGACGTATGTAGCAGTGCAGAAGTACCCTGACGTATGTAGCAGTGCAGAAGTACGCTGACGTATGTAGCAGTGCAGAAGTACGCTGACGTATGTAGCAGTGCAGAAGTACGCTGACGTATGTAGCAGTGCAGAAGTACCCTGACGTATGTAGCAGTGCAGAAGTACGCTGACGTATGTAGCAGTGCAGAAGTACGCTGACGTATGTAGCAGTGCAGAAGTACGCTGACGTATGTAGCAGTGCAGAAGTACGCTGACGTATGTAGCAGTGCAGAAGTACGCTGACGTATGTAGCAGTGCAGAAGTACGCTGACGTATGTAGCAGTGCAGAAGTACGCTGACGTATGTAGCAGTGCAGAAGTACGCTGACGTATGTAGCAGTGCAGGAGGACGCTGACGTATGTAGCACTGCAGAAGTACGCTGACGTATGTAGCACTGCAGAAGTACGCTGACGTATGTAGCAGTGCAGAAGTACGCTGACGTATGTAGCAGTGCAGAAGTACGCTGACGTATGTAGCAGTGCAGAAGTACGCTGCCGTATGTAGCAGTGCAATGCACGCGTACTGAATGGGAATCTTGCAATGAGACACTCACTCACCCTCTTTCCCGCAGGATCAGCGGTGACACATGACAAGACTTTGAACATAGTGTCGGTTATGCTGGTATATGTCAGCAGAAAGATCAGCCACACACCATTGAGCGATGAGCGCGTGGCCAGGATTTGAATAAGGCCAAACCTCCTGCACATGACCAACGACAATGAACAAAACATAGGGTTATCAGTAATGAATATGTGTGTGTGTGTGTGTGTGTGTGTGTGTGTCTGTGTGTGTGTATGTGTGTATGTGTGTGTGCGTGTGTGCGCGCGTGTGTGCATGTGTGCACGTGTGTGCGTACGTGTACATGTGTGTGTGTGGGGGGGGGGGGTGCGTGTGTGTGTGTGTGTGTGTGTGTTACGTCATCACTTCAAAGGCCTATATGGTCAATGTCCTGCTGCTGCTATCGCACTAGCATCATTACTCCCAAGACAAGGACGGGAGCTTCTTAGGCAACAGTACACGACAGAGCGTGAAGCTCAAATGGGTTGCCGTCACGGCGAAATACCTGCACTTCAATCATTCTAGTGATACAGAGTGCACAAGCAGCACTCAAGCAGATCTCTTGCTGCACAACTGCAGCTCAGTCATACCAACTACGCCACTTCACACAGCTTATCTGCAGCAACTGTGATGCAATCCCGGTATTTCGCCGTAAGAAACACCCGTGCGAAAAAAAAAAAGAAGCTATAAACTCTGGGTTTCATGTACACTTGCCATAGGTGTTCCCCGAGTGCATAGCCATGATAACGGGCCCAGTAACTAGTCACATAGTGCAACACAATTATATGCTCTCAAACCGAAAGAGAAAGAGAGAGAAAGAGATAGAGATATAGATAGATAGAGAGAGAGAGAGAGAGAGAGAGAGAGAGAGAGAGAGAGAGAGAGAGAGAGAGAGAGAGAGAGAGAGAGAGAGAGAGAGAAAGAGAGAGAGAGAGAAAGAGAGAGAGAGAGAGAGAGAGAGAGAGAGAGAGAGAGAGAGAGAGAGAGAGAGAGAGAGAGAGAGAGAGAGAGAGAGAGAGAGGGAAAGAGAGAGAGAGTACTCGTAATGTTATTAAACTAACGTCAGTAGATAAACCAGCGCAATGACGCTAGCACCGATCATCACGAGGGAATAGTTCATGACGACAGAGTTCAATGGCTGCCAGCTATTGCCAATACAGGGATTGAAAAGTACATCAGCAAAGCTGTCGTCATCTGGCCGGGCGTTGACCCACTATTCACAGCAAGCATACCATCACAAGATGCAGCACACACATGCGTACATGCACACAGACACATACAGACAGACACAGACAGAAAGAGACAGAGACAGACACAGACACACACAGACACACACATGCACACAAACACACACACACACACGCACACAAACTTAATTTCAATAAAGTCAAGCAGATTACACCCCCCCCCCCCCCCCACCATTCAACAGCTTGCAAGGCTGATGAATTGACCACCACTATAACTTAATTTCAATAAAGTCAAGCAGATTACACCCCCCCCCCCCCCCCACACACACACACATACACGTAAGGCCACACGTTTTTATTTCTATGTTTCTCGTCACCCGCGCGCATACGATTCAGGAAAAATGTGCTGCACTGACTGTGCATTGTGGGGACCAGCACACTCATGCACATGTACATAATGTGGCCTGGCCTGCGCGACACATGATGCGAGGTCACCATTTATTGTGCGCAATCTAGCTGCACATGCACAGATTGTGACAGAAGCTCCTACCGCATACTAGTTGCTAACTATGGATGCTATTTTGCATGGTGTATTGAGGGATTTTAGTGTGAACAAAGGTCTAATAAACTTTTTTATTTTTCGGTCGTAAAATAGTAATGAAAAATATCAATTGTGCACTCATAACCATGTGATAATACTCATAAAAAGGACACACTTCAGGCTCATTACAAACATCTTGAAAGTTTTTGTCTTCACAAGTATACTTTCAAGCCTTCTCGTCAGGTGAAATACAGGCAAGGGAAAAGGAACAGGAACTCGCATTTTTGTCTCAGAGGAAACTGTTTACCTATTTGAAATCATAACCATGTATAAACAATTAAAATAAAACAATTCCAGAACGTTTTCGTGTGACTATCATCAGTGGAACATCGTCACATAGTAAGAATCACTAAAACAACCAGTTATATAGCTAGAGTAATATGAAAAGAAGCGTGAGAATGCAGCACAGCTAGCGGTTATGCATAACGCGTGTAGTGTGAACCTTTGCAGTGTATCTGAGAATGGTAGCAGTAGATGAATGTGGCAGCTGTGAGTGCGTGTGGACAAAACTGGTGAGTGCGTATTATTTAAAAAGTGTGAGTGCTACAACATTTTCTTTTTGCTTGCATAGAACAGGGTCACGTGTGCGAATATATGGGCCAGTGCATGCAATACCGTGTCTAAGGGCAAATTTTTGGAAAATTTTTCTTTCTTGAAAATCAATCACAGGGGTCTAGAGAACACCTCTGTGGAAGATAAAGTTGGATATCACATTTGAAAGTACATAGAGACCATGATTTTTATGGCATTGTCCAACATAGAATATGCCTTGTATAATGCATTATCTACAGTGTCGCTGAAAAAAAGCAACAGTTTTGCGTATCAGCCTTTAGAATTGGCCAAGACATTCAATGAAGGCTGCCGTGTTCTCCAGTCAAAAACCGGGCAACATTGTCCAGCAAGTTCTTGCGACGTTGAGCTAACAAGAACTCGCGTTCTTTTTGTGCAAAGACAACATGGTCACGGAGTGGCTCCGTTGCAGAATTCTTTTCATCCTATGCACGAGGTGAACGAATATCGTCCTGGAGCAGCTCACACTTGTTGCACACATCCATCCGTCGCGTCATGAACTCGATGGACTTGCACTTCTTAGTCCACAGATACAAAAATATACGGTAACCCAAGGTTTGCGATTCACCAGACTGCTCGACATGTTCCGAAAGGACAAACTTGTAGGCGACAGATGTAGGTAAGTTTATGGGAGATTCCCCACCTCTCCCTCTTGGTGCAGCAGACAGCGGGAGGCTGAACACTCAGCTATAGTTCAGAATAAACTGCTGCGCTCTGTCTCCCACTTCTGCACTAAATTTATTCCAAGGCACATTGCCAGATTTCTATGTGCACCAGGATGACAGCTATTGTTCTCCTTGTCCACTTGCACACAGTCATGTTCTGCCAACCACAATCATAGAGCTGAATAAACACGGTTCCACACACGATGTACCCCATCATAGTTTATCCAAATGTGATGCGCGTCCGTTCCGTTGCGGAAGCTGTCGACTGATGCACGACAGTCGACAGGATCATCATGCGTGCAGCGCAGCCAGCATACCAATATAAAAAAATGCCGAGGTCCTTGGATTTCATCGTCGTAATGGAGGATTGCGCTCGACGTGAAGCTGCTGAAATGGTAGTTTCGAACGCAGCCACAGCCTTCGAGAATCAGTGAGTCCACAGCGGCAATGCTCTGAAGCGTGTCCTGCTCATCGTCGCTTGCAGAGTCCACAGAATCTCCGCCTAATTCATCCGCTCTCGACTCGCCTTCAACCTCAACGCAGGAGTCTTTCACTCCCGGACGCTTAGCTGGGGCTTCGTCAGAGTCACTGTGAGCAGTACAGCTGCTACCGTATTTTCCGGGGTATAAGCCGCACCGGGTATAAGCCGCACCCCCCCCCTTTTTGAGGCAAAATATTGACTAAAAGTTGGTATTCGGAGTATAAGCCGCACCCACAAACCAAGATTTTTCACACTCATTGACAAATGGCCTTTCTACAAATGTATTATGGTTATTGAGCTAAATACCATGTTAGATCAGATTATGAAAAATAGAGTCCCCGTATACGCGTACCGTATGGTGTAGCCCGCGCACTAAAACTAGTAAAAGTGCCGAGATAGCAACACAGGCGCGAAGCTGAGTCGAATGACATGTCACATGACGTCAGCATGCATACTGATGTATGCTAAGCATTCATTCGCGCAAGCATATTCGGTGTATAAGCCGCAGGGGCGATTTTGGTCCGATTTTTAGCGAAAAAAAGTGCGGCTTATACCCCGGAAAATACGGTACCGTATTTTACCGGTTGTAAGTCGACCCCGGTTATAAGTCGACCCCCCTATCTGGAGGTCTCAATTCTGTGTTTTAAAGTTTTCACCCAAAGAAGCACTACTAACCACCTCCTGCTACTAACACATCAACAAATCATGTCAACATTCCTTATTGGAGGATATAACGTCAAAATCCTTGAAAAAGGCCAATAAACCGGCAAAAATATGTGCAGATGGTGCATCCGTGAATGCAGTGCAGGTCATTTTTTTGTAAGATACTGATAGTTCCCGGTTATAAGTCGAATCCCGGTTGTAAGTCGACCCCCACCCTTTCTGCTTCTATTTTAAGTCGTAAAAGGTCGACTTACAACCGGAAAAATACGGTAGTTGCCGACTGCTCCGACTCACGACTCGCCAAATAAATTGTCGTCTTCCTCGTCGATAGTAAACCTTGCCGATCTCTTCGGACGCGCCGACGATAATCACGCGAGCGGCACAGCTCAACCGACGTGCTGCTCGGCGTCTGCCGCGAGTGTGTCTACTCAGAGGCCCTTCCTCAAGTGCTACTTCCAACTCCTCCTGCGCCGCCACGTCCATGATGATTGCTGCAAGTCGATCGCTTGTCGCTTCTCTTGTCGTCTTGAGATCGATTAGGAATGTAGACAAGATCCGCGATCGAGCCACAAAAAAATATACCGTAACTCTTCTTTCCGAGCGATTTTCTCAAAATTCTGAAAGAAATCGGTTTCCCCCGAAGACACGTTTTCGCATGCACTGGCCCATATACAGCTTCCAACACCTGCAACTGCTTAAAGAAACGTGCGCAACAAATAACACTAAACCCGGAATCGTCAAACAACTTACGACAATCCGGACTGGACACCAAATGCGTGTAGATGGCAGACTTGCTCTTGTCGATGTCGAACTCCTCCTCATCAGTATCACTCTCATCCTCCACTTCCTGTTCCTGCTCACCCTTGCTTTCCTCCTGACCATCCTGTTCATCCCCATCATCATCTTCCATCTCCATCTCCTCATGCCATCGCTTCTTTCTCCTTGACGTGTTCACTGCTGCGCCCGCACTTTCACCTGCCGCTACTGGTTCTGCCTTCTCGATTTTTCTCAGTCGTGTCTCCGCTAGTCTCTGGCTTCTCCTCAGATTCGTTTTTCCTCCATTTTCGTTTCGTTCTCCTGGTGATCTTTCCGTTACCGCCGTCGGGTTTGTTAACGAACGATCGTCCGGCGGTCTCCCATGCCGTGGTGTTGTCGTCAAGAGTGACACCAGATTCATGTGTTGCGCTCCTGTTGATTCCGGTGTTGTATCCGTTCCTGGTTGTGTTGTACCATTCTCAGATACACTGCAAAGGTTCACACTACACGCGTTATGCATAACCGCTAGCTGTGCTGCATTCTCACGCTTCTTTTCATATTACTCTAGCTATATAACTGGTTATTTTAGTGGTTCTTACTATGTGACGATGTTCCACTGATGATAGTCACACGAAAACGTTCTGGAATTGTTTCATTTTAATTGTTTATACATGGTTATGAGTGCACAATTGATATTTTTCATTGCTATTTTACGACTGTTGTCTCCTCGTCGGTTATTTAAATATTTTCGGTCATTTTTTTTTATTTTTTTCCACCTCTCGCATACGTTTTTAGATTTTCAGGTGACGAGAAACATGGAAATAAAAACGTGTGGCCTAACTACTTCAACAGAAAAAAGTACTACAGCTTCAGGACTAAACATAAAGTCCCCATCACATACGTTAGTGGTGATAGCACTGCCAGGCTCCGATGCATAGTAACATGTCTGTGTGGATAATACAGAAACAACACAAGACAACACAACACACATGCACACACACACACACACGTATGCACACACCCATACGTATGCACACACCCACACACACGCACGCGCACACACGCACACACACACGCACACACACACACACACACACACACACACACACATACACACACACAAACACACACACACACATCAAAGCTGTTACGCGCACTTGGATCGCGGCAACTTAGTATTCTGCACTTGAACCATGCAAAACCAATGCATGCGGAGCAATGAAACAAATTGTAGTGTTTGGCTAATATTTTTTTGTGGTGTTCGGGGCTGTTTTTGTGTACTTTGGAAGCTTTCAACCTGCCTGATACTACTTCGAGGCAGTCTCTACTGTATTGAAATTGTTGTGCAAGCATCTGACATTCTGTAGCTGTCTTGTTTGCTAGATTTGCAGTCACTTGGGACACTTTATCCAGTCTACGTGTCCTTCGTCCGTGCCATCTACTGGCACATCTACTGGCAGCTGTGTGCGCTAGCTAGGCTTGTATTTGTGATTCTCGAGTGTGAGCCCTTTTAAACCATTCTTGAAGTGGAGTCATGACTTGAAGTGTATTTGCTCAGCGAGCCCTATAGCAAAGCTACAGCCCTATGGCAAAGCTACAGCCCTATAGCAAAGCTACAGCCCTATAGCACAGCTACAGCCCTATAGCAAAGCTACAGCCCTATAGCAAAGCTACGGCAGACGCCACATCAACTGTGCTTGGATTGGACCACACACGCTAGTGTAGAGTGATTAGTATAGAGTGTGTTTGTATAGAGTGTAATTAATACTATAGAATATGTCACTGTAGACTGTGGATTGTAGAGTGTAGAGTGTATCATACTTACCTGTAGGAAGAAAAGAATGCCAAGGAACTCTTGAGGAATTCCAACATTGTAGTACAGGACCAGACAGGCAACAGCCATTGCGCCAATGATGAACGTTGCCAGGACTGGGCAGCACAACAACCAAACAAACAACCGCATCCAAAACAAAACTGGTGAAGTAATGCAGATAGCGATCTAGGAATGCCAACAGCACCCTTCAGAAATGTCTACCACCACTGACAACAGAAGAGCAAAACAATAGCAGAATAGCAGAAGCAGCGGCATTAGCAGCAGCAGCAGCACGTTGCTATGATTGCAAACAATCAATGGCCCAAGCAAAGAGAATCTACTGCAAATCAACTATATTTCATACGCATCATAACGTATATTTCATATGCCTAACTTCGGTTGCAGCAAGTGAGTTAAGAACACGTACTACACCAACCAGTTATTTGATTTTGACAGCATGTTACAAGGCGAGGACGCATAGTGCTCCTGACTACAACCATAACCCGGTTGGCAGAGTCCCGGTCTTGCGACCATCTGAACCGTATTGGGAAAACCCAGGTTCGGACCCTCGTTACTCTACGGGTTGGTAGGATTTCTATAATTTTCGTTTTTGTGTTGTAGAAGTCAGACCGGGACTCTGCCAACCGGGTTATGGTTGTAGTCAGGAGCACTACGCGTCCTCGCCTTGTAACATGCTGTCAAAATCGAAAAACATGTTAAACTACCAAGCAAGGCTTCTGTATATACCAACCAGTTAGTATGTACCGTAGGCAAGGTGGACAGCCAGTCCTATATACTGCAGGCAAGGTGGACAGCCAGTCCTACATACTGTAGGCAAGGTGGACAGCCAGTCCTACATACTGTAGGCAAGGTGGACAGCCAGTCCTACATACTGTAGGCAAGGTGGACAGCCAGTCCTATATACTGTAGGCGAGGTGGACAGCCAGTCCTACATACTGTAGGCATGGTGGACAGCCAGTCCTATATACTGTAGGCAAGGTGGACAGCCAGTCCTATAGAGGACTTTCCATTACATCACCTTTTTGGCGCCTTCCCGGTGTCCACCCAAAGATCACCCATAAGACAAGTCCGTGTCCTACGGTAAAATGTGCTTGGGTGGCAAAAAGAGAATCAAATGTGTTGTTCGGTGTACGGTTGAAAATGATGTTGCAGGCCGTCGCAGTGGTGAAGCACTTTTGCTTTTCTTTGATGTGGTGAATAGTTTCGGTAAGTCGCGAGGATTACTAGCCGCAGTTACTCTACTGTTTATTCCAGCCTTGAAGAGGCGTTGCCGCGAGAAGATTGACAGAATCCGCGGGCCCAGTACATTGATCCATATTTACCTATGGACGAAGACGTTTCAGCCAACCCCCCTGCGTTGGGTATCCAGGCCTCTCTAAATATTTAGTGAATGTCCCCAGCACATATGCAAAGGACTCTCTAAAGTCTTACAATAGCCCTGATGGATACAAATGCATGTGTCTCATTGCTGGCTGGGTTGGCACATTATGGTGTCTTGCCCAATCGAAGGAAGAAACAACAACTGTCAACAAAATACGTTTGCAAACGTCAGGCACTCGCGGAGTGTTTTTGCCGAACCTGTCCATCCTTGGGTAGCTGCTGAATTACCTGGAATTGTTCTTGGCGCACACTGCACTTGCATGGTTGGCCTGGGAGAAGCATGTTCCCATGTTGCTGCAGTGCAGTGTTGTTTTGACTGAATTTAAGTTGGAGACTGAAATGTGATGTGTGCTGAATGTGAACACCTACACCACTGGGTCACTCACCAGTGGCTGGCACCGTCAATGAACACTACACGAAAATAGTGTACATGGATTTTACTTCAGCTGGGCAGAAATTGGAGCACCGTGCCCATAACCTACAAGTAGTCTCACTTCTCTTTCGCTGCCTGACTCTCTCTGTCTCTCTGTCTCTCTTGCTTTGCATGCCTGTCAGTGTATCCATGTGTGTGTGTGTGTGTGTGTGTGTGTGTGTGTGTGTGTGTGTGTGTGTGTGTGTGTGTGTGTGTGTGTGTGTTTTGTAGTAGTTGGAGTAGGAAGCACTTTTTTGAGCTCTGCTGGTTCACAAGTTTGCTTAGCTATAATATCCCCAGGGGTGGCCTAGGGCCACCCCTGGCTAGGTTGTGAGTATGGTGCGTGGAGACCTGGGAAGCAATGACGGGGCAACGCCTGATGTTGCCACTTGCAACCCGCCACGTACCCACAACACCTGCGACGGTTTTGCAAACCTCCAGGTAGACCCCCTTGCACGAAGTAGGAGACGGAGAAACGAAGCGTTTGTGTTGAAGTTTTGTACCTGGAACGTCAACAGCTTAGTGGAGAATGATGGAAGCATCGAGACAGCTCGTCACGAAAGAAGCTTGCCCGTCGCGGAAGACAAAAAAATTCAAATTGTTCTTCACCAAATTCAAAATTTGAATTTCTCAGTCGCAGGTCTTCAGGAGACGAAATGGTTCGGCGATCACGAGTATTTGATCAGTGGAGCGTCTGTTCTAAATGCAGGACGCCCCGTCCCAACAGAGCGAGGAATGCCCGCATATCGCGGCGAGGGAGTTGCAATCGTTCTTTTAGGTTTGGCCCAACGAGCGTGGAAAAACGGCGGGTGTCAGTGGCGAGCTGTCAGCTCGCGAGTTGTTGTGGCGAAACTGTTGTTCGGCGATCAGTGGCTGCATGTCATTTCCTGCTACGCTCCAACGTTCGCGAGGCCTCGCCATGAAAAGGAGAAATTTTATGACGAACTTCGTGATTGTCTGTTATCCATCCCGGAGCGCGATTTGTACGTCGTACTTGGTGACTTCAACGCCCGTGTTGGCAGCAGCCCAGGTCATGAAGAGGACGCATGGAGGCAAGTGCGTGGTCCTTATGGCGTTGGTACCATGAATGAAGCTGGTGAGGAACTGTTGAGCTTTCTATCCATGTTCAACTCTCGACTCTGTAATACATACTTCAAGAAAAAGGACATTCATAAAGTTACCTGGCAGCACCCACGTTCACAGCACTGGCACTGTATTGATTATGTGATCACCCGGCAGCGGGATTTTCAGCGCTGTACAGATTGTCGTGTGTACCGGTCTGCTGAGTGTGGGACCGATCACAAACTTGTTGGGCTAACGTTGTCACTTGGTTGCCGCCGGCGTTTCTACCCGCCAAAGAGCAAGGCCCCTGATCGCCGTCGCTTTGATGTATCCCAGCTCGGACCTGCTGACCCAACTGCATCAGAGGATGATGATTTAGTAAGGCAAGCAACTGTGGCGGAATGGTACCATACCTCATCCGACTGCCTGCAAGACGCTGCACCAGGGACCTCAGTTCAGGATCAATGGAGTTCACTACGGGACGCCACAGTTAAAGCAGCTACCTCTGTCCTTGGCAAGAGTCGCCGTCGTCAGCCAGATTGGTTCTCAGCCAGTTCTGCCACTCTCGAGCCTCTCCTTGCACATCGTAACACTCTATTCCAGAAATCTTTAGCAGATCCATCACCTCTGGTCCGGCGAGAGTTTGTCCACGCGCGCTCAGCTGCAAGGGATGCTGTACGCAGTGCTAAGGAGGACTGGTTCCGTAAGACTGCGTCTGATGCCGAATCTAGGAAGTTTGGGTGTAAGGCTGTGTGGAACAGCATCCGGGATCTACAGACTGCCCGGCGCGGATTGATTCCCACTAAGTCGTGCCTGATCAAACAGACTGATGGCTCACCATGCTCGTCCGTTGAGGCACAGCAGAACCGCTGGTCTGAACATTTCGAAAAGCTGCTGAACCTTCCAAGCGGCTTTGTCCGATCTGAAATTGACTTGGTCCAGCAGCGCAACATCATGGAACACCTGGCCACCTCACCCACTGCTGAAGAGGCCCAGCGCTGCCTTCGCTATCTTACGAACGGGAAAGCTGCTGGAAGCTCCGGCATTCTACCGGAAATGGTCAAATACAACTGCGACCTATTCTATGCCAATCTGTTTAAGCTCATTACCGCGGTTTGGGAGGAGGGCGTAGTACCGCAAGATTGGGTGAATGCTGAGATAATACCGATACCCAAGAAGGGTGACCTCACTAGCTGCGACAACTGGCGTGGCATCGCACTCCTCGACGTCATTGGCAAGCTGTTCGGACGCCTGCTGCAAAACCGATTGCAGAAAGTCGCCGAAAGTGTGCTGCCTGAATCACAGTGTGGTTTCCGGAAAGGTCGCTCCTGCACGGACATGACGTTTGTTGTTCGCCAGGTTGTGGAGAAGTGTCACGAGCACCAATCCAAGGGATTCCTGGTGTTTGTCGATTTGAGGAAGGCATACGATTCTGTTCCGCGTGCTGCACTGTGGATTGTCCTGCTGAAGCTGGGAGTCCCGGAGCAACTGGTCAGCCTTCTGAAGTCTTTTCACGACAACATGACAGCCACGATCATCGTTAATGGTTCCCCCACTGAAGGCTTCCCAGTGTGCAACGGATTGCGCCAAGGGTGTACAATGGCACCAGTCCTTTTCAACTTGTTTGCTGGTGCAGTGATGGAACGTTGGTGCGCACGCGTCCAAGAGCGTGGAGTGTCTGGTTTTCCACTCCGTACCTGTGCCGATGGTCAGCTTTTCAAGAGATCTAAGCGTGGTAATGATATGGTCATCACAGATGGTGAGTTTGCTGATGATGCAGCCTTGTTTGCACCCAGCCACTCGGATGCTCAGCGTATGCTTGAGATATTTGCGGAGGTCAGTGGAGCATTCGGGCTGTCTCTCAACATGGCAAAGACAGTGTTCATGGCTGTTGGGCATCAGATCAACGACAGTGACCGTACCCCGCTAAGCGTACAAGGCAACGCCATCCAGCATGTCAGCCAGTTTACATATCTCGGCTCAGTGGTAACACCAGACGGACGATGCCACACCGATGTGTCCAACCGCATAGCTGCTGCATCTAAGGCCTTTGGCAGCCTCTACTCGTCAGTTTTTCGGAACACTTCACTAACATCCAAGACGAAACAACACACGTACACATGCTGTGTGTTGTCGGTGCTGTTGTACGGGGCTGAGAACTGGACACTGTTGCGTGCCGACATACGTCGCCTTGAACAATTCCACAACCGCTGCGTTCGTGTCATTCTCGGCATCTCGCGTTCCAAACAGTGGGAGGACCACCTGTCATCTGCCTCGCTGCATAGAATGTGCGCTACAGAGCCAGTTGCTGACATGGTTGCCCGTCGACGGCTGCAGTGGCTTGGCCACATTGCCAGGATGGACGACCACCGGCTTCCAAAGGCAGTGTTGTTCTCGTGGCTCCATACTCCACGCCCTGCTCATGGCCCCAGGCGTCGATGGCGTGATGTGGTACGCGATGACCTCAAAGCGTTCGGTCTATACACCGGTTGGTACGACCTCGCAGCTGAACGTGGCGAGTGGATCCAGTCCATCTCGGATGCTATTGTTGCACGGCGTTTACGCCTTGAAACGACAGCCAAGTCAGTGTGTTGTGCGATCTGTGAGCGACTCTTCGCCAGTGAGAGCGGACTTCGGCGGCACAAATGCAGGGAAGAGCGACTGAAGCCGATCCATGAACAGGCCGGTGCTGTGTTGTGCGAAACGTGCCATCGTTGGTTTGCTAGCCGAGGTGGATTTGCTGTGCACAGCTGCTCTCCCAGTCTTGGTGACGCTCTAGTTCCAGAGATTGTTGCACCTCGCCCACCTGATTGCAGCCAATGTCATTACCACTGCCACACCTGTGACCGCTGTTTCCGGAGCAAAGCTGGGCACCGCCGGCACAACTGCAACTGCAACCGCAGAACATGCAGCTCTGGCTCCGAGCGCCGCACCATCCCATGCCCGACCTGCTCTCGGAAGTTCACACGTCTCCAGTACCTGGCTCAACACAAATGCAAGAAGTAACTCTGCCCTCCTTGCCTCTTTGAGGCACTGCATCACCTTTAGGTGGCAGTTTCAAGGTTCAAGGTGTGTGTGTGTGTGTGTGTGTGTGTGTGTGTGTGTGTGTGTGTGCGTGTGTGTGTGTGTGTGTGTGTGCGTGTGTGTGTGTGTGTGCGTGTGTGGGTTTTTCTTCCTTATCAGTACGAGTATGACAATGTTGACATGCGGTGGCTGGTAGCACGAAAGCTGACAAAGTCAAACACGGCCATCAGCATCATTGCTCCTATGTAGCCAAAAAGTTGGTGTAGTGGCGAACTTAGTTGTCCTGATCTTAAAACACGCTGATGAATGCACATCCAATACAGCAATTGTTTTCTCCTGGTCGCCCCTCGACCTGGCATTCTCCATAAGCAGTTGCTGATTACCGGTAGAGTGTCCTCCATTACTGCCTTTGCAAGAGTTACACAAGAAGTAAGATCAAGATGATCCTCACCACAAGAAGATCAAGAAGCTGAATACATGTACCTAATTGACCAGAAAGACAGAAGATGAGGTATACTAGTATGTGCCGCAGCAGATGAAGAACTGCACAGCGCAGCAACCAAGTGGGAAGCAGAAGAAGATTGCGCAAGTAGGTCGATCAGAGTATTTATCCATGACAAAGGAAATACACG